TATATATATATATATATATATATATATATATATATATATATATATATATATATATATATATATATATATATATGGGAAGCTTGAGTACCGAGTGTGGAACAACCATCAGCCTACCAATGGCATGAAACTGATGGTGTATAAATCCATGGTGCTGTCCGTCCTTCTATACGGCAGTGAAACCTGGACGATGTTCCTGCGGGATGTGCGATATCTCGGGCGGTTCCATCAGCAGTGCTTGCGACGGATTTTACTCATCGGATGGGGCGACATATTTTCAGACACGGAAGTGTTACGGCGAAGTGGAATGTATGCAGTGGACTGCATACTTTTACTGAGACACCTGAGATGGGTCGGTCATGTGAGCCGTATGGATTCGACGCGGATACCGAAGCAGCTATTATATGCTCAGCTGAGTATAGGAAAGCGGCACGTGGGGAAACCAAAGTTACGTTTCCAGGACATGCTCAAAATGAGCCTCAGACGTTCTAATCTTGATTGCAGATCATGGGAATCGAAGGCCGATGATCGGTACGCATGGCGCGATCTGATCACGAAGGCAGTTGCCGAAGTGCAGGAGAAAGCCTTCATGCATGCGGAGAAGAAACGGCAAGTGCGGAAGCGACAAACACCGTTGGGTTGTACTCCATCGACGTCGAGCGCATGGTGCTGTAGCACATGCGGTCGCGAATGCCTGAGTCAGGCAGGCTTAGTGAGCCATGAGCGAGGCCACTCGGGACCACTACCGAAGCGACGACGGGTTCTGCAGAGAACGTAGGCAGAACCGGCGTAGCGTTTGTAGGTACGCTGCATTCGATTTACTAACCGCGTGCTTGCATGATAAGTTTCTTTATTTCAGGTGGTGCGCTTTCAATTTTGTTCTAATGCTTCCCTATACAAATAAATGTACAGCTGTACGCTCTTCTATAAACCTGCACAACTCGCTTAAGCCAACTCTAGTTAATTACTATAACAGTTTCGTGTTTGTCATTTCCGTAAAACAAACTTTCTAACCTTTTGAACTTATCTCGGATCCTTTATTAACAACTTATCCTATATGCTCATTAATTTAACATTTTTGTCACGTGGCCTTATCCGTTATTCGATTTATTTTCCTTGTTATCTTTCTTTCAGGTGATTGGCTGTTGCTTGACATCCCTGGTATGGCTGCGCTTGATGTGCATGTTGAAAAGGTGCCTACCTGTATATTACCCACTCGCTCCTTCATACTGGCTCCAGGAGACAGTTGGTCGTTGCTGGAGGGGACAGGGTGCACGGTCCGTGTGGCCGTGCTAGGCTCGAAGAGTGGTTCCATGCACTCAGTGTGGAGCGGACTACGGTCCAGCCACCGCCTTGTGTGCGCTTGATTCCCAAATACAGTGCGCTTGTGTTTGCCTGTGAAGGAGTGTAGGCCGGCTCTGTTGGTGTAACTTGGCTCCCATCCGCATGTCTCCCGGTCTTATTCCTTCCAGTTTACACTGGATATGGGGTGTGTGGTTGGAGTTGTGGGTGGTGCTTCGCAAGCCGCACATGGTCCCTCTGTATGCGCATGCCTCCTGTGGCTGGTCACAGTGACAGGTAAATCCGAAACCGGATGCCGCCAACAATAAATATATATATATATATATATATATATATATATATATATATATATATATATCATTCCCTCCTCTGTGGAGGTTATGAAATGGTCGATGGTCCTCTTCCCGTAAAACCTAGCTATGGGAAACAACAGGTCTACAAATCATATGCTTTAAACTCGATTGGCGTACAGCACGAGCACCACGCACTTTCTCTGACGGTAGGAGAACACATCGGGATGTTAATAGTTTGCTATTTCCCGTCTCATGCTAGACAGCACCTAGTCAAATTGGTGCAAACCTGCCAAAACCCACCTGCATCTGGCCGTGGTCGCAAATGCGTATCCTACTACGGTCCAGAAACTTACATGAATCGTTGAAGATCTCCAAAGGCTGCGTGTAACGGACCCCAAACGGATCTCAATCTGTCTGGCCACGCAATTTCCTGAGATGGCTCTGACCCCCACTGCCTTTTGGGTCAGGCTATTGTGCCAAAGGCTCCGGGCGTGGTCCCACAAGCAAATCTCCGAAGTACAACGACCACCTCGCGTGCGATTACACACCAATGCACTCGCATGCATGCGCAAAGCACTCAGCATCAGGTGCTGCAACGTACGCACTCTACTTTACCGAAACTCGAGTGAGCACCACGAGCGACGAACTGCACTTGTCACGATGGAACTGGAGCGCTACAACATCGATATTGCGGCGCGCAGTGAGACTCGGATCGCTGAGCAAGGTAAGTTGCATGAAGCAGGTGCTGGCTGCACAATCTACTGAGTGGACAACGCCACCTCAGCACCACGTGAACCTGTGGTCAGATTTGCAATATCCGATCGCCTAAATGGTTTCCTATTGGGTAAACCAACGGGCATCAGCGCGCGACTGATGACTGTTCACCTACGACTCGGAAGAGGTAAGTTGGCCACTTCTATAAGCATGTACGGTCCGACCACGAGTTATCATGATGACACGCGCGCTCAATTCAAAAATCAGATATCCTCCGTGATACGGTCTCTGCCGAGGAGCGACCGACTATTTCTGCTGGGTGATTTCAACGCGAGTGTTGGGCGTGATGCATTGGTGTGCACAGATGTTATCGGTCTGCATGGCATTGGTTTAGCGAATGCGAATGGTGACAGGCTGCTCTCACTGTGTGCCACTCACGGCCTGACGATCACGGACACTCGGTTTGCACTGAGTGATTTAGCAATTTGGACGCACCCACGGAGTGGTCACGCTCACCTGCTCGACTATGTCATCGTACGTCAAGGTGATATGCGTGAAGTGCACATGACACGTGTACTGCGTGGAGCTGAGTGTGTCGCTGATGACAAATTGGTGCGGACCAAACTGTACATATATTTTCGTAAATCTATGTATTGCACTTTTGCAGTGAATCGGCGTAAATTTAGCATTCTCTGTCTCGGTACTGTGGCGAAACGTATTGATCTGGAGAAGGCGATGGTTGCACGACTGTGTAGCGTGGAATTTGTTGCCACATTGGGCGACCTGTAGCAGCACATACGCGACCAGGTGACAGCTGATGCCGAGGAGACCATCTGGCGCGCAGCCTGTAAGTGGCCTGATTAGTTTGATGAGAACAATGCGACGATTGGAGCATCGGTGCGTAAAAAGAATGCAGCATTTGCTGCAAATTTCGCAGATCCCAGTGACTTGGGGAAGAAGAATCAGTTTCTCAAACTTCGACGGCGACTGACTCGGGAGCTACGTTGCATAAAAATACCTGGAGGACAGAGAAGGCGAAGCAGATGGAATGCTACGTCGAACGCCGCCAACACAAGGAATTCTTTGATTCCTTGAAGGCGGTGTGTGAACCGAGATTGGAGAAGCTGAGGTCGCTGTTCTATGGTAGCTCAGGTGTTACCTGCACACAGACTGCAGACATAATGCAGATCTGGCGAGAACACTTTGACTGTCTCTTGAACAACCGTTCAGAGATCGACTGGCCTACATTGAACGGCCTGAAGAGGCACGATGTGAAGGCGAATCTGGCGGACAAGCCGACACTGGAGGAGACGCAGACAACACTTGCTCAGCTGCGAAACGGCAAGTGTGCGGGTGCGGACGAAATCCCGCCTGAAGTATTGAAACACGGTGGACTTTCGTTGGTGACCGCGCTGCACCACTTGGTACAACGTGTGTGGATTGAGGATGAGATGCATCCTGAGCTGAAGGATGTCCTTGCGTCACCACTGTACAATTGCAAACGAAGCGAACAATGTTGCACGAATTGTCGTGGTATCAACTTTGTATTACGTGATAGGGTCCGTTTCAGTCAGAAGACCAAATAACGCAAACCAAACAATATGCCCTCTCTGTAACGTAATGCTTGGGAAACCTGAGTGCGTTTATGTGAATAACAGCGGAGGTCACGTAAAACCCGATGTTCTCCAGTTTCTACTGTCAACCTTGCTTTTGGTTTGGCACTCCATACTCCGGTCAGCTTACGGGAACTGTTATATATCGTTGTTAGTTGCTCTATATTCATCGATTTTCCCTGCAAAGAAAAGTTTACCCATTAGCCTGTTCAAAGTACACTTCCAGCACATGCAGACGGAATGCACAGTTAAGGGGACAAAATGTTATGCACTTTAACCGCGTTTAGCCACGGCAGGACTAAGCACTGCTCCGCGGTTACTTTTAATTCATGCACCATTTGTCACGGCAGCTGAATTTGGTTTATATCTAATAAATTTGCTCAAACTTTACCCGTTACTAGAGCGGGGCAGTTTGTTTTGACCAACCAAGGTCTATTGCCTCAGAAACAACCATAACTGATATGTTACCGTGAGTATCAGGTAGCCCGGTTGTTGATAATAATCTTGAAAATTATGTGTATACTAAATTACAATTAACCAATTGTCAGAAACACTACCACATTACTAGCCTGTCTCTGACAACCTGTTTAAATTAACGTGTTTCAGTGACTATTGCCAAAAATTTTTCCACCAGTTGCTGTGGGACCTAACAGATTTATCGGGGTTACTTAACACGCCAGAAAAAGTCAGACGAACATAGGCGATGTGATAAAATCTCAAAGAACGCGTTAATCTGTTTGTGTTTTTGGTACCACTGTTGAATCAAAACGCTTCTTCAATGCACAGTGCCTATTAAATGGGTGACGATCGCGGAACATGCGGAATAAAATCTGCAGCGTTAATCAGCATGTTCGAAGATGTGTGCGATTTGAACGAAAGCTCCGCTGCTTTACATATGTGCTACTATTGCGTGCTCGTGTTATCTTCCCGCTGAGGAATAATGTGAAGACCCAGCTTGCGAAATTTGCTCAAGATCGCTAGCGTTGTTTTTCGCATGCCCGTTGATGCGATTCCAATTTCTGAACATGCGTTCACAAATGCAAGGACACCGCACAGCAGGTGACCAAATAACGAATGCATGCAACAACCCAATGGTGCGAGTGGTCGCGTCCGGCGAATCCCATGCACCACATGTGATATGCATTAATTCAACGAATCCAACTACTGCGAGCGTCACGCTGCTCCACTGACGGGACATATATTCAACCAGTGGTGATGAGCGGACCGGTGTTCCTTGTTGTTGCACGTGTACAAAGCGGTTTACCGGCGGTGTCATGCCTGAACGCAAAGCGCTCATTAAAAGCGCCGATATGTCGGAAGAAATGCAGCAAGAAGCAGCAGATTGCTGTGGCGAGGCATTGGATAGGTTTACCATGGAAAAGGATATCGCAGCTTTTATCAAGAAGGAATTCGATCGAATTCACGGAGCTACGTGGCACTGTGTGGTTGGAAAACAGTTTGGAAGGTAGGTCATAGTGATCCATTTCTTCGGACCCAGTCCAGATATTTTACACCTGCATCAATGTCATCTTAGTGACTCACCATTGCCTGGTACTACACGATATGGGCACAGACTGGAACTAAACTGCAGGTGGATCTTGTCTAGTCGTGTTCTTTGGCGTTTGATATTAACCACTTATTGCCGAACTGGGTCCAATCGCTGGGAAATTGTGACCTGGAAAACAGCTGAAGCACACGCTCCAACACCTTACAGCTGTAAACGAAAGTTTCTTTCTGGTGCGATTTCAACACAGATCCTATAGCTTTGGTTGTCGGAAAAGCTCCATTGCCTTCGAAAAGACATTTGCAGTGAGCATTTTACTGCCAGAGAGTAGCGTGTTAGCACTTAAGAATCACAAAACTGAGAGGTCTCTATGAGGCAATCTAAAGGTGTGAACACCCTAATAAGGTGATAAGTTGACTCGGGAGTGAAGAGAATCAGGTGATTTCTACGGGTGATCAAACCGAATTTTTCAAAGTTCCTATTACATCTAGAGTTGTAAAACATGAACGTGATGCGTCACGACAGAACCTAACTAGACCACCAGCCGACATTCAGAAGATCATCGGACGCTGTTTGGTCCTTTCATTATCCTGTTGAGTTACAAGTTTCTTGATTTACCGCAACGCTTGAATCCCGAAGGATAAGTGATTTAGGTTGAGAAGTGGTCCATTAAAAGCATTTAAATTTCCAGGTGCTACATAGAAAGATAAAAATGTTCTCTCTGCTGTTATATACCATCGTCAGTTAAACGTTCCAGGGGACTTCGGCAGTGGTCCTTGTGGTCAAACCAATGGAACAATTAATATGTAAATAGTTAACACAAGTAACAACTGCATAAAGACGGCTGGACATTTACTATCTAACCAAGGGTAGAGCATGAAACAATACAGGGCAGTCAGCGTCCCCGTTAGGATCAAACTCATGAGTTCTGCGCAGCACGGAGACAAAGTTAGCACCTACGTGTTAGCTAGTGTTGACTGTGACATACCGCACAACCTGGTCACCGCGAAGAAGTACTCATGCACCAGTCACTTAGCTCCCATGAAAAACCCATGTTTTACTGTTTCAGGTTTGACCTACTATGATGATTAGCTCAAGGTTCTCCCCCCGTCCAATTAACACTTTATTCAGGCTAGCAGACACTAAACAACTTGGACAACTCTCAGGAACATTTGATACTGCCGCAAAATACACAACTAATTTCATCGACAAATCAGTTTAGTTCCACGATTTCAATAGGAGATGACTTGCTTAACACGACACTGCCAAGGAGTCAATAGCTAAGTGCTGTCACTATTTTCGTTTGATGAACATGGGCTTCTTAGAATGTCTTTGTATTGAACATTTTAGACAGTGTTACTCCGGCGTTTTCCCCGCCTTCCATCTTATGGTAGTCATGATGTGGAGTATTGTAGAAGTTACTTCCATCATAATTGGTGCAGAAAGCATGTTAAGTGAGCTGTCTAAGCCAAGTTTAAATTAATTTCTGCAACATTTTCAAGAAACTTCCGCGACGTCCGCATGAGATCTCTGCCCACCATAGTTTACTGGTTTTTCAATTAGGGTTTTTCCGATAATTCCTTATTGTGGATAAGGATGAGTCAAATGTATCTGACCTCCTGAACAGACGATTAGTCAGAGAAAAATTTGAAGGATTAATTCCCAGCGGTTGGCCCACTGATTCACATCAGGCACGGCCTGTCTTGTAGGAGCGCGATTCAAGTGGACAACCGGTATCACTGGTGGTCTAATGTTGCTAATGGGTGCTTTACTAATGTAGGCCTACTTGTGACGAGTGATGTGTACAAATGTAAAATAGAAGAAAAGTATTAAATCGCGAACATCGATATTTCTGGGAAAAACCTTCAAATTCTAACTAAACGGACGTAAAGCAAGAAACTAACCATAATATTAGTCTTAATTGCTATATATGTCTGCAAGTTTCGATTTACTTAATTTAGCCATTTAATTTACTGCTCACGGAGGCTAACCTTCATTCGATACGTTTGTTAGTGCCAGGGCTCCAGAAATCTGATGTCCTTCCGGTATAGCGTCCACGTTTCGTTGCTATATAGAAGAATGGAAGGCACCATCGAGCTGTAAACTATCCATTTCTTCCCAACAGAAAGCTCGTGATTCCTCCACACCCGATTGAACAGCTTTCCAAATACCGCAGCGTTTGCTAAGCTGATGCACGGAACGCTCGTTGTCTACAGCTCAGTAGAAACTATGCTCCCGAGGTAGCTAAATATTGAGGTGATTTCCAGAACGTCGGCACCAATCCGTTTGCTACAACCATAGGTGTAGGTTGAAAAAGCCAGACGCTTGTATTGATGACGGGTGCGAACTTGGCCGCTGTCAAAGTGAGTGCCGAAGCTATGTACTGCAACTCATCCGCAGTGTGCTTTCGCCACACATTCCTCAACAGAACCACACACCACATCGAACCATCTGTTGTTGCTACCCATATGACAGGCGCACCTCCCATCGTAACGCCTCCAGCTGCCAAACGAATTAATACTAGCAATACTACCACGAGATTCCTACCCCATCAGCTGTCCAACCAAGAAAGCAACCACTGGCTCCTCCAAAAAGTGGAACATGAAAGAGTACCATAATTCTCTGAATGTTATATGCTCTAGTGTGACTGAATCTGGGGCGAACTCCATAAAAGATAAGCTACTAGGCGTGAGGGGAAACAGTGTGACTCCTTGTATCAACTTATAGGGGTTCAAGCTATACCAGCTATTGTGATGCGCCTCGTCCGTCACTCAAACTCCGTGCACTACGGTGAACCGCGGTTACTCCAGGTAACACTTCAGCCCCCTAATGATAAGAGGCATTTCTCTTGTCAGCCACTCACCTCCGTACCACCACATGCACTGTACGAATTTTCCAAATGTTGCTTGCAGCGAACGCCAGAAACTCAAGCAAACTCAGAATGACATCCGTAAACAACAAGACACTAAATCTCTCCTTGTTCACGGTGTCCCCGAGCTCCAGACATTAAACGAGCTAGAGGCCAAAGCGCATGGCTGGGATGAATGGCGTTTTATTCGTGAAGTGCTGTCACTCGATAACGTTATCGCCAATTCGATATCAAGGTTACCACTATCACCTAACTACAAAGGGTGTTGTCCCAGAGTGATGAGAGTATCATTACTTCCTAACTGGTTGCAGTACATGTGATCAAAATGTGGCACAAAAAGCGTAAAATGCTGCCATCCGAAACACATATAAAGGCGACAGGACTCCGACAGCTGAAGTGGGACAATATAGCCACCCTCTTGCTGGTGCTGAGAACTCTATACAACGACACGAACTGGCGCTAGAGCCTACGTCATCGGTACTACAAAAAATACGGCCGGCAGTCGACCCTACAATGGTCGACATAGACCCTCATCAGAAATCAGCATCCAAAAAGACGCTTTTAATCACCGATGCCCTCAACTGCTTGCATACCAATGAACAAGGTCTTCTCAGCAAACTAACGGTACTTCTTATTCGTCAGGTTTCCACATCTTGAGAGCTTGTTAGTCACCGAAACCAGGCTGAACACTAAGATCACCAATGATGAGATTGCTCTACCCCTGCATGACTTGCATAAAAAGATAGACCTAGCAGAGGAGACGGAGTGTTCCTGTATTTTCGATCCGACATGCACGTTGATATCATTGAGGACCCAGAAAAGCAAGTCGTCGACGCTCTTTGGTTTCGTATGCAACTAAGACGAGGTGACGTGTGTTTACTAGCAATTGTTTACCGCCCTGTAATGTCCATTTTGGAATTGGATACGTGCCTATATTTGGCGATGAAGCGAGTCCTGGCACGACCACACAGCCACGTCTTTCTGGGGGGGGGGGACTTTAACCTGCACGCAATCAAAATTCCAACGTCGCACTGCGAACAATTCAAAGCTGACTTGCAACGGTTGATTCCCCATGTATCTCTGTACAGCCATATCACCACTCCTACATGATTCCGAACGTGTGACACAAACTCTGTGTTGGACCTTGTGCTTACCAAGGAGGAACTAATGGTCAACACCGTGACCCTTGATGCGCCACTTGGCCGTAGAGATCACGCGATGTTGCTCTTTCGTTACATCTGTTATTCGGAGTACATCAGTGAGAACAACATGGAAACCTTTGTGGTTACACATTACGATATACTGTCCACCTTCGTTCAAGAAACCGACTTGTCCTTCCTGACAGAGCAGCCGCCTGATGTCGCTTGGATGGTGTTTGTCACACAATTCACCGAGCTAGTGGCAAAAGGGTCCGAAAGCAAGGTCTTCCCCAGAAGCAAATGAACTCGTTCCTGAGGAACCGTACTCGAAAATGAATGGACTTAAGGGATTCAACCTGGCGCGCTTACAAAGTCTGTCCAAGTAATCTGATCTGGGGTGCTTACACAACTCAACGAAACCACTACATCCAGTTGATTCGCGAAGACAAACTCCAGCACCAACAGAACTATCAAGCTTTACGCAAATGCTGAAGGCCTAAGTAAGGCCACAAGTGGAATATGGGAGCCAAGCCTGGCGTCCCTGGCACAGGCGCGATATCAATACACTTGAAGCACCACGAGGTAGAGCAACAAAACTCTTTAAAAGGTTTGTATATTAAAGGATTGTTTCATCTCTCCTACCAGCGCTGACTGCAGTCTCTGAGATTGTATAGTGGTGAATATCGACGTCAGCGAGGAGACCTCATCATGGTTTACTTAATACTGACGAACCCTAATCACCCATGCCGCAATCTGTTGCAGCTGAGCCAAAATACCAACCTGAGAGGTTATCAGTTCAAACTTGCTACGCATTACAGTCGATTTTACTGTCGACGAAACGTTTTCTCCCTCCGTGTGACCCCTACGTAGAACTCCCTTCCGACTCACGTCCTCCTTGCTCCTACATTAAATCTATTCAAAAACGCCTTGATGACACGGTTTCCAACTCGCATAGTTTGATGTACTTTGTTTCATTCGGAGGACGAAATAACGCGAATCAAACCATGTGCCTAACGGCCCTCTCCGCAACGTGGCGGTGAGGATACATACAGACGGTCCTTGTGAGTAGCACGGATGTATCGAAACTGGATTAATATAACGCGTCCGTCAAACAAAGCAACACCCGAGTGAGCGTTTTCCTTTCCATTTTTATTTATCACGCACTTATTGAAATATAACAGGTCTCTATACTATTTGTGCGCGCACATCCCAATCTTATTTTAAACTATCGTTATGCAGTAGTGCATTTAAATCGGTAGACGATTAAAATGACGATTTACTTATTTGTTGACCTTTTCAATTTTAATTTTTACGCCCACCATTCTACGGGACTTGCCAGGCACATGCTCTTTTACCCGTGATAAATGTTTGTTCATTTTTCATTATTCAATCGTCAGCAAACTGCAACATACTTATGGTTCACTCGCACACCATCTTTCCCTGAAACGTTGGATGTCTAGCAACCCAACATCAATACGATGCTCCACATTTGACGAAGTAATCACGCATTAAATTCACAGTAAGTCATAGCATTCAGGTAGACACTAAACAAATCTGAAGCTGACATAGATTTGTTTCAAACCAGCGACAATATCAAAGTCATCCGAGGTTTGTCCACTCAGCTGCACACTCGCCCGCATTCCACGATGTAGGCATCCAATTAAACTTAAAAACTTACTCGGAGAACCAAACTTGCCCAACAGCAGCCAAATGCCTCGCGGTTTACCGTGTCAAATGTCTTAGTGAAATCTACAAACAGCGAGTACAATGGCTGGTGTCGCTCTCGTTATTTCTCTATCAACATATGAGCCGCGAACACCATCTATCTATCCATCAATATATATATAGTACTGCAGCCCGAAAGGAGTCCGCCTTGCTTTTCCACCACGTTCAGTTCAACGACCTGAGTGACGAGGCGGTTGAGCAGGATTCGAGCGAACAGTTTGTCCACACAATTCAAGAGTTGATGTTACGATAATTCGTGGCGAATTACCTGCTTATTTTGCACTTGTACAGTGGAGCATAAGCACATCCTTCAGCTCGGCCGGCACTACCACTTCAATTCTCACGCGTTGCGCCAAGCAGAGCAGCGCATATAGCAAAGCGGGTCAGCTGTGTTTCAACACCTCAGGCGATATCCAGTTGACTCCGGAGCACTTGCCGTTTCGTGATCTATGCGTCCCATCCATTGTCGGTGTGTCGGCAAGACTTAACCTGTTGTTGTTGCAGCCCGTGCAACATAGCCAAGTCAATCTCTGAACGATTGTTCAAGAGCGTCGAACTTCCGTCGACAGATTTGTATTATGTCTACAGTCTGCTTGCAAGCAGCGACTGAAGTGACATCTATCAGCGTCCTCAGCGATTACAAGGTGGACCGATGTATTGTCTTCAATGAGTAAGGAGTTCCTTGAGCTGAAGGGGGTTCGGTGAAACATTTCATCTGCTGTGCCTTCACCGTCCATCATGTAGTATTGACATGACGAAGCACTTGACTTAATCGCCGTCCAGATCTGCGAAACGGACGCTCCAAATGCTCGACATTGTCCCCACATGCACAGCGGTTGCTGCATCGCTCTGTGACACCACTGCATCAATCGACGCAGGGTTGCCATTAAACCAATCGGGTCGGTTAGAGTTAGCACTCCTGATCGTTTCTTCGGCCGCAACCGTCACCTGTTCTCTGATACCGTGACACACGTTTAGTTTCGATATGGTCAATGCGGATAGTAATCGACTCTCCAGCTTCATTCTCTTTTCAGCAGTAGCTAGGGTACGAGCATTAAATTGTTGCTGGTTCACAGCATGTGAGTAATACGTGTTTACAACAATAGGTGTACAATTTGGTCCGCACCGACTTGTGATCACTGTCACAAGCAGCTCCACGCAGTACGCGTGTCATATGCACTTTACGCATGTCATCCTGGTGTACGACAGCATAGTCGAGCAGGTGCGTGTGATCACTCCGTGGGTGCGTCCAATTAGCTCGCAACCAGTGCGAACAGGGGGTTCGTGATTGTAAGGCCGTCAGTGGCGCACAGCGAAAGCAAACAATCAGCGTTCCCATCGACTGTCAATACCTTACGGTTCGATTACGCCTAGCCACACAGAAGGAGCACGACCAACGTGCTCGTTGTAAGAACGCTGTTAGAATAACTGGTCACTCCTCGTCACAGACAGTATCACGGAGGATAACTGAGCGTGGAACTGGTCCCTCATGTCATCGGGATAACACATGGCGGAACCAAATGTACTGATAGAAGTGGCAAATTTACCTTTCCTGAGTCGTGGGCGTAGGGTCATGAGTAATAGACTGAGGCCAGTTGGCTCTCTCATTAGGGCACTATTTAGGCATTCGGGTGGTGCAGATCCGGCCCATGTTCACCTGGTGTTGTGGTTGGGTTTTCCACCCAGTATAACATGTACGCAGCACCAGCTTCATGCAGCCTCCCTTGCTCAGCGGACTGAGTCTCACTGAGTGCGGCAATGTCAATGCCGTAGCGCGCTAGTTCCATAGCGACCGCTGCAGTACATCGCTCCGGGCGCACGCTCATATTGCGGTCCGGTAGGGTGGACAAGTTTTAGCGTACGATGTTGAACGCCTTGGGCAAAGGCATACGATTGCACCGGGCAATCGCTAGTGTGGTGACGTGGATTGGAATTGGTACGGGGTTAGTTAAGATGCGGAGGGGGATTGGAGAATTTCAATAGGAAGGAGAATGAAGGAAGGCGTTAGTTGTAACATGTCTTGCAAATCCACGCCGCTGTACGCATCCGGTAAGGTGAATATTTTCTTTCCTCCACCGCTGTGCGACGGCCGGCGCAGCATGAGATTATCAGTATTTGTGAATTGCATGATTTGGTTTTGGACTGGTGCACAGCTAGCGCATACATACCTAAAGTTGTTGGCGTCAGTGGTAACATATTTTCGCTTATTCACCTCACTGTTTGCAACAGATAAGGCGACCTTTTCCTAATACCACTGTGCGATAGCTGATGCAGCATGGGATTATTTGTATTGACTTAATTTATGGTTAGTTTGTACACTAGGATACTGCCAGTGCGTCCACACCTGACAGGAGAACGACTCGGGTCCCCAGCCAAAGCCTTCGACATGTGCATCCTGCCCTTAGCTATAAGAGTGGTGTAACTCAACGCCCACCCATAGGTCGCCACGCGGAGACGTCCAGGACATGAGTCAGTGGCACAAAATTAGCAGCAGCGGGTGGAGGATCGGTCAGGATGTCTGCGCAACAAGCCGCGGATCATCCACTATATGTATATTATTTTCGCAAAACCACAGATCTTTGGAGGTCCGTTTGGTTGTAGTGATGACTAGTCTCCTTTAAACTATCCACAAAGTAATTTAACTCAACTAACATCAGGTATACCTTTCAAAGATGTATAGCAGGTGCGATTTAATCGGGTTACAAGCGCCAGATTCTCATTTACCCTAATTACCCATTGTCACCCATTTTTATTTTACTCTCCAGACCTTTGACCGGTTCTCAAACCATATATAGAAATATAACTTGATCATTCTGTTGTCATACAGCACTATTTATCTTCTATTTCAGTTACGTAACGCACGAGAAGAAACATTTCATCTACTTCCATATTGATGACTTTGCCGTTTTGCTGTACAAATCTGGCTGAACAAAGACCGTAAATTTTTGTGAACTATCTCTGAGTTTTGTAATCACGACTGACTCATAGGCACATCGCTCTGGGGAAAACAGGTTGTTCTATCCACTACGACGAACAATGAAGAATGATTTATGTCGGGTAAAAAAGCAGTTGCTTGACAAGTCCCGCAGGATGGTGGGGGTAAAACTACAATTATCAAACGATAGGTGAGTTGTCTGTTTGAGCGTTCATCTAACAGATACGCTGCTGAATAATAGTAGCGTGAATGGGAACTGAATGCGAACGATGTGGCAACATGGGGACAGTTACAGATGATGTATTATACGTGAAAAGTAAAAATAAGAATACTCACTGCTGTCCCGCATCCTCAGGTTTACGTAACATGCTAATCCGCTTTGGGGGATGATTAATATATTCCAATGTTGCACAGTTTAGGCAACGAAGTGATGGGCGCCAAGCGCAAAATCCAATCGTTTTTTGAAAATATCCAAGGTGAGGGAGGAAACAACAGAGTTAAGGAGAGAGTACCAGGGTTGGTAAACCTGAGGAGAAAAATAATTTCGCCTGCAGTCCAGGTGGTTAAACTGTGCTCGCAATTTCAGAGGTTTACCTCTGAGTTTGGTGTTATGGCTGAGTTTCAGCAAGTGACGGCATACGTGATTAGGGTCACTCAATATTTGGTAGACTAATATGAGATCGCCGCGCAGCATTCGGTAGCGGTCACTGAAAACTCCCAGTGACTTCAGCCTTTGAAGGTAGGACAGATTTCGCAGACCTTTGAGGTTCCTTTTGGCCCTACGTTGGGGTTTCTCTAGTTGCGCTTCAAGCAAGGTTGCCTAACTTGGATGGCATTTTCAAGTTGAGGGCACACATAATAATTGTGCATCATTGGGGAGATAGATGGGTCGAATATTCCGAATGCAGTCCGCAGCAGGGCGATGTGCCGGTTTGCTCCCTTCGCGGCTGCCTCTGATTGTTTTGAACAGTTAATGTCAATTTGAAAGCACACCAAGGTCACGTTCTTGGAAAGTGGTTTGCAATACATGTGACCCAAGCCTATACACGTGATTATGTCTATGGCGCAATTGGACAGCGTGACATTTTTCCATCTTGAACGGTAGGGTATTCAAAACTGACTAAGTTGAAATCGTGTTGAGGTCACGCTGTAGTTTTTCGTGGTCGTTCGGTTCTTTGATCGCTCCCCATAATTTGATATCAACCAGGAAGAGTAGGAAATCGGAAGCAATTTCCATCGCCAGATCATGTACGCAAATCAAGAATAGACGGGGCCCGAGCACCGAGCCTTGGGGTACGCTGCACTCCACCTCAATTGTGTGGGGCAAGGATTGTCGTACTCCCACTTCCAACCCACGTTTGTGCAGGAAATTGCCTATCCAACGCAAACAGTGGGTCACCAATGCCATAGAGCTGAAGTTTATGGAGAAGAATTCGGTGGTCTAAGCAATCAAGCGCTGTTGAGAAATCCAAGTAAATGACATCAACTCCTGCTCCACCATCAACTGCTTCAGTTCAGCTGTTGCATGCAATTAACAAGTTCGTAGTGAATGAGCGACTTTCTCGGAAGCCATTTTGCTCTAGTGATTTTCTAGCTATTGCATGAGTGCATCAGCGATGATAGACTCCATAAGCTTGGAAAACACAGGGAGTAGCGTTATAGGACGGCAATCGGTTGGGTCAGTGCGGCTATCTCCCTTATGAATAGGAGTGATTACCGCACGCTTCCGTATTGTTGGAATATGGTTCTCCTCCATACAGCCGTGATAGAATATAGGCAGAGGTTCCGCCAGAACACTGGCTGCTGCCTGTAAATCCTTCGGTCGAATGTATCGACAACAGGAGAGCTGTGGATATGCAGCGACAACAGTTTCTTTAAGACATTTGTGAGACGTTTGTGAGTGATGAAACCTTAAGAGACGGACTGCTTCCGGGGCTGGTCGCGCCCATCTGTCAATCGTGATCAGTGCTGAAATTCCGCGTTTCACCTTATGAAGGCCATTAACACGACTGGATCAAAGTTTGCGGTCCGTGCAGAATCTCTTCTTTAACTCCTGCTGATGCATCAGCTTGTCCTGGCGGACCGAATTCACACAAAAGTTACGCTGTGCCACATAAATAGTCCAGCTTTCGGAATTCGGGGTCCTTGTGAGCTCTCCATGCTAAATCCCTCAAGGCCATGCACTTGCGTGTTCTGCTTCTTAGAAACGACTTCCTTCGCCTTTGACGATGGAGGGGATTCTGCTCAGATGCGTGCGTTACAAGTGTAGTGGATGTCCTTGTAAAAGTGTGCCAGATGATTTCTGCGGGGCTTTTCGTTAAGAAGGTCCAAGATACCTCCTTGACGAACGCGGATAACACGTTGTAGTGCGTGATCATATATATTTTCTCATCCTCTTCCTCAGGATACTCCGCATACCATGCATAGTAAAACATTGGAGTCACATGGTCATTGCGACCCAGTGCTGTGCTTGTAATTAATCTGTCTACCATGCGTTCTTCGTTGTTGAGCACAAGGTCAAGTATCACCGGTTTGTTAGCATTTCGTAATCTGGTGGGAGTGGTCATGTGGTTGTACAGAGGGTAGCTGGAAATTACCACTTGTAAACTGGCTTTGGACTGCATACTATCGGTTGCCGCTGTTTCCAGATAGTGCACATTAAAGTCGCCTGCGATGAGAATGAGACTGTATATCCTGGTCAAAGCAACCTGATGAACTTGATTTAGTTTGGAGTCTATTTCACACATGGAGTTTGGTGGACGGTAAATCACAGCTATAAGACGTGTCTTCGTTCCTTATCCATAGCCGGCATCAAACCGAATCTGGGGCAAGGATCTCTGGGTGGTCAATAACTTCACATCGGTTAGCCTTGTAATAGAGAATTATACCACAACCTCTTCCAGCTCTCTCATTCCAAAGCAGTGACATTCCAGGCAAATTGACTTCAAAATCTGCTATCTCAAGGTCTCAGTAATCATAATGATATCCCGCGGTTATGACGCCTGACTTTCTCTAAGTTCGGCCAACTTACTAAGAAGACCTTGTGTTTTAGTATACAAACATGATATTGTTTTTGATGTTAGAAGTGTGTAGGTGGACAACTAATTTTTGTTTAGTTTTAAGCCGCCCGTTCGTCGGTCGGTCGTTAATCATTTTCTGCGTGGCTGTTTGGTTCTTGGATTTCAGTCAGGCTCCATGGTAGCATGGAGTATCCCAGATCGAGATTTTCCCTAGAGTGTGTCTTCCTGTCCAGTCAGGTGTCGCTAATGCCATGTTGTCTACAACTCTGCAGGCTTGAGGAAGCAAATATTTTACCGAGGTTGTATGTTCCTGTGAGATACTAATAACTGGTGTCCGCGTGCTTGCTATCTTTAGCCTAATCTCGGTAGGCAACCTGGAGCGATGCTTCAACCAGCTATCCAAGAGGACTTCTGTCATTCCTTCGGAGTGTAGTACGACTTTCAATATTTTTGGACCGCAGCCCTTGTAGTTTGGAGATGAAGGAATTCTGGTTGGTGATTTAGAGAAAAAGTGGTCCAGAGAGAATGTTTCGAGAAAGAAGCACTACTGCTTTCGGTCATGTTTTTGCGCTTCGTGCTCAGGAGAGCCAATTAGATCAGGAACACCATGAGTAAATACGGTTTTCGTTTTCGTTCCTAGAAAGGTCGTCATGGTTTTCACTTACCATCGATCGCCATCTCCAAGGAATATCGGGTAGTATGCGTACCCCGCTCGATGAGTTGCAAAGATGAACTGCTGAGAGTAGGACTATCTCTGTCTCCTTAGTTAAATTCAAGGTTACTCGAAGTAAGCTGGTTCACCGTAGTGTACTGAATTTGGGTGACGCGCTAAACGTCGTAGCCCAGTTGGGTCAATCCGAATACCAATCGCATCGTAGATGGAATGCCTCTGTTTGCGATCATCTGCCAGGAACGTTAGTGCACACAACCGTTAACGCACCGTGGCCCTTTTCAGCGGACGTTGATTTGAATCTTGAGGCTGTTAACTTGGATTGTTCGGCGGGCAATAATATCGTTGTGAAAACGGCGGCCCGTGGCTCGTCATTGGTCTAGAAAATGGACGTACGGGTATGCACATGTTGAAAGCAAGCTCCTCAGAAATCAGGTTGCCAAGAACCCACCGCGGTCGATGGTGTCCGTATGCCGCAGCAAATTGTTTCACCTAAATCATGTATATATATATATTGCGTTTGTTAAGAAAGATACTATTATTTACTTCTTTTAACTTTGGACATCATCCACGTAGCTTAAGCATTAACTTACGTCCAAAAATAAAAGGCATCAGCAGTACGCCGATACGCAGTACCGACGGTTTCGTGCCGCGCAACCACCATCAGTCGCATGTGGGCTAAGGAAACCGCGAGGGTCGCCCGGTCTTTGGGCATGCTCGAACCCGCGCCCTCAGATTACGAGGCGGTCTTGTGATCCTTAATGCTACGGGCCGGTTGCTTTACTCAGGCCATTGAACGGCCGACGTCTTTTGAGTTTGTATGAGCGTTTAATTTCAGACTTTGTGCGGACACAGTGTTGATAAACACAGGAATCACCTAACGGACTACTAGTTAACCATATTGGTAACCGAGAACTTGCAGTATCATCTGATTGTCCTCCTCTTTAGAACTAGGATTTGCTCGCTGCTTGGCTTTTAGGCGTCTTCGGCCATCTCTGCTAGCGTTTGCATTGAGGCATATGACTTTTGAACTATGCTGAGATCCTATTTGCAGACTTTCTTCGGTGCCTCACGTTAACTACTGATTGCACAGCACTTTTGACATCGCTCCACTAGTGATGAAGCCTTAGCAAAAAGCTAGGAAACTCGGCGAGTGCCTCAACAGCTGAACGTGGGAGCGCCATTGGATAACAACGACCCATGAAGAGAAGAGCGACAGTTTTAACATGGTTGTGCGAGTAATACTCCACCTTATCTACTAGTGTGGACTATGCAAAACAGCATTGTGTGATCATCTTTATGAGAAATAGGCTACGTATTTATTCTCTGC